TAATAATTAAGGGAAACTAAGACAATTCCACGCTTTCAAACGATGGAATGCCAAGAGTTTTCCACCTTTAAAATCATCATTGGAAATAATCCGCATTAACATCTGGAAATGATCCAAGAACAATATAGAGATGTATTCAGTCTCAAAATCATACACGCTACACATCATCAAAAATTGTAATCGTTCGCATCACCCAAATTATTTTATATATGATTATAATGAACAGTAAGAATTGCAATCGTTAGCATTGTCAAAATGTTTTTTAATTTTATAATTGACTAATAGTATATGACTCCACTGAAGAAGACTGCGTACAGTCGAAACGTTTGTGATTTAATGTATTATTATGTGATGATTTTAAAATAAAAAATTATAATATTCATTAACATCCGAATAATTTTATGCTTTTTAGTTGGCCTGTACTGACATTAATTTTTACAATTTTATAAAACTTAACATTTAATAACAAAATTATAAACAATTACTTTAAATTGTGATGTAAGATAAGAGATACGTGTATTATTCGTAACCACGGTTACACGCTAATTTTCCGTCGACAGCGCCGCCACGCGAAAGTTCAGATGGAATAAAAGAGTATGTTTCCTTGTCTTTGTATATCTATCTCCCTTCCGCAAATAACTCATTTGATACGCCTAAATGTAATTTTTTTAGGTGTGTGAATTAATATTTAATTGATAAACGTTTGGGTTTGTAATAATAACATCGTGTTTATCTGATTCAAAAATGTCAAAATTAAATCAAAACAGCATTATATGCGACAAGTTCTCATTTTCTGTTTTTATTTGAAGAAAATAGCTGCTGAAACTCATTGAATGTTCGTAGAAGCTTATGGTGAAAGTGTTCCCACCGATAAATCAAGCAGAGAATAGTTTCGACATTTTAAAAGTGATAATTTCAGTGTCGATGACAAATCTCGTCTAGGTCAGCCGAAGAAATTCGAGGACGAGAGCCAAAAGGGTGTAGTGTATCATGAGCTATTAAAACAGAGCCAAACCATCACTGCCGAACTTTACTATAACAACAATTAATCCGTTTAAACAACGCATTGAAGTATAAGCGGCCGGAATATGCAAAAAGATATGACAAAGTGATCTTCCAGCACGTTAACGCTCGGCCATATGTTGAAAAGATTGTGAAGGCCATCTTGGAAGCACTTGGCTGAGACATTTTGCCTTATCTGCTATATTCACTAGACATTGCTCCATCCAATTATCACTTGTCCAGATCGATGGCACACGGGCTTTCGGATCAGCACTTCAATAATTTATGAAGAAATAAAAAAATGGCTTAACAGATGGAGCCAAAGGATGCTTCGAAGTACAAGTCGTTTTTCCGTCACGGAATACAACAACTGCTAGACAGATAGAAAAAATAATAGCAAGCGATGGCCAATACTTTGATTAGTGTACTTTTTCTGTCTTTTTACACTAGTCTTTTTTGGAAGAAAAAAAATTCACACACCTAATATTAGCGGCGTTTTATTCTAGATATGTAGATGATTACACCTTGATAATTCCAGAAACGGAGATATCACATACATTAGGGACTTTTAACTTTATTCATCCGAGGCTACAATTTACCATAGAAATTTCAGATGACAAGTTGAATTTTCTCAACGTCACAATGGTTTTATTAAACAATCATGTTATTTTTTAATTGGTATCACAAACCAACATTTCGTTATTTAAACTTCTATTCGTAACATTCGATGTGTCAAAAAAAGAGTTCATTTATGGCATTGTATAGAGATTTTTTTTGCATTTATCTTTTGCATCCTCTATTTCATAGAAAAAATTTAGAATTTAGTATAAGAGTTTTATTTAATAATAGTTACCCGTTGGAATTTATTTTCCGAACAATTCTAGATTGAAATTTTTAATAAATAAAAATAATGCTAATGTGGACAGTCAGCTCGTTTCTAGTGATAATCGGATTATACCATTATTTTTTTACGATTCCTTATATACCGCTAGTTTTGGTTAGTTTTAAAAACATAATAAAAGATCTTAATTTGAGAATTTCATATTTTAGTAAAAATAAAATTTAGTAAAAATAAAATGAATAAATTTATTAAGGTCCACAAAAATAACATCTCCAAAACAAATTGTTGTAATGTAGGTTATAAAATTAACTGCTTGAATTGTAACGCCCTTTATGTGGAGTAAACAGGATGACCAGTTACATACAAAAATTGAACATAGTAATCATATTAACTAAAAGAATAGGACTCACTCTGTTATTACTAAACATAGGTTTGATTCTGATCATCAGTTTGACTAGAACAACAGCTCACTTTTAGATGTGGAACCTATCTATGGAAAAACTTATTCTGAAATAACATATTATGAGACAAAAAATGGTCTTAATTTACAGACGGACACAGATAAATTAAATAAGAATCTCATTGATTTAATCAACCGTTTCTCAAAGATTAAAAAATTTTGATATATTTATACTTATAACTCTATTTGTATCAATTTGTGTTTAACCTTTTAAAAAAATTATTTTTAAATTTATCAATAATACTTGCAACATATTTTCCCTCGGAAATAGAAAAGACGCGCAAATTCGTGTCACCTTGTGCTATGCACGCTCCTCACTCTCGATATCTAAGGTTTGAACGCCAGGTACGGTCAGGCCGCACCACTCGGAAGAAATCACGAAATTCTCGTAATACACGACGGCTCAATCTCGGTAACTCAGTATCTGTATCTTGGTAGAGTGGCGTGGTTCTTTTTCTAAAAGTACTTAAATTTTAAGTTTCTAGAGAGAGAGAGAGAGAGAGAGAGAGAGAGAGAGAGAGAGAGAGAGAGAGAGAGAGAGAGAGAGAGAGAGAGAGAGAGAGAGAGAGAGAGAGAGAGAGAGAGAGAGAGAGAGAGAGAGGAAACAGGAATATGATTAACACTTTCAGACATAAGATATAAGAGTAAAATATATACATATTTCCAAGAAGTGTGTACAAGGTCTTGGTAGAATAGGATCGAGGAGCTAGTCCGGAGATTGTTGTTCTTTCCAACGTAATTTCACGATTTTACAGTAGTGTCGGTACTAGCTCGGTACTTTTGATATTCTATTTTCTCCATATATACTCTATAACTTCTTACAGCGTACTCAATATCATTACTTAATAAAGACTCGATATTACAATGTGTGACAAACGAATTTCACGCGTACAAACGGACTGTCGGTTCGTCGGCGCCCCTCGGAGAGGCTAGGAAGGCGAAAAGAATACGTAGTTACGCGGATTTCCGACGCAGGTCCCGTGCTTCGTAATTGCAATTATCTCAGTATTACTATTAGTCATTTTGAGCTCATAGACTCGGTACGCAATATCTCCTCGAATACACGGGTCCCGGTCGGGTCCGCGCTTACCGGAATGTCGAAGTGGTGGCCTTATAATTCTATGGACGTGGTCCGATGTTCCTCGTGTCGGGATTACCGTCTAGCCGAACAGTGAGCGGCGTTGGGCCGGCGTTACGCCGGTAGCCTCGCGCGGTGGCGCTGTGGTCGCAACACGCGCCGCTCCGAGTCAGCAATCGATCCTGATATCGATGTCCTCCTCGCCGCCTTTCACGGGCTCCTAAATGCTGCAGGATCTCGAACTCGCCTTCGGGAATTCATCCGCAGAAGGTCTCTTAGGCGGCCCCGTGTCTATCCCGGATGGTCCTTGTTTTCCTTTTCGGCGGACCATTATGTTGCAAGGACCGTCTCAGGATGATCAAGCCCGAGCGATCCCACTGTCCTCTCGGGATGGTGCCGCGGGCCCCTCGGGAATGGTCATCTCTGTCTTGAGATGCAGGCGCCTGTTCTCTTCCTTCAATACTGCAGATGGTCGGTTATCCGATGCTGCAAGGAATATAAAAGCAGTAACAGCCCTTACGCGACTCGGTACAATAAATTTTTCTAATTCGACTTACGTAGCCGCGTGTGTCTCGGCTCCGTGCGCACCGCCTCGACCACGCCGCTCCATCCTCTTCCTCTACTCTTCTCGGGACCTCTTCTTCCTAAAACAATTCCTTTTCAAGACCACGCACCTCGACCTCCGCCAAACAAATTGATAATGGCGAGTCGATGACAAAGTCGTCGCTTGTCCGAGAAAATATTAAAATCGGAGCGCTCTCCGCTCCTTCCCAGCCGGGCGCATCAGCCCTTGTAACAGGCGTAAAATGCCACGTCCACTGTTTCTATTTTAGTCTGTTCAAATTTGAACATCTCAAGTTCGCCTTCCGTTTGAAAAGGTTGTATAATTTTTTAAACAAAAATTCTTTGTGATGTAGTTACAATTACTTGACCATATCCATTATAAGCTGTGTATATTTTTTGTTTTCGGTGTCCGATTATGAGTAATAAAAATTAGTTATTTACTTTGACTTCTTGAGTAACTACAATTATAATTTATTGCTTAATTTCTTAAATTTTATGATACGACTCTAATGAGTTTCTCATTATGGTGGCCTGTGTTTTTCTGCTCCTGGCTTATCAATCTTGAAGGAATTTAATATTGTGTGGGCGTTATGATGACGATAATTAGAGATTTGATTTTAATTACTCTATCGGATTGGCGGATTTGTTATGGATTTTTTAATGGAAAATTTGTCTGGGCGTAGATATAAATCTTTATTTTTTATCTTCTAATTTTTGTTTATATGGGATGATTTAGACTTTATTAACGCTGAAGATGGCCCTAAGAGGGATTTGAAATGTCCGCTATTATTGTTGAGATTATGTGTGAAACATTTGTCTACTTGTATGAATAATAAATTTCGCGATGTCAACTTTAGATAAGTGTGTCTTTAGATAAGATTGTCATTTTTATTAAGATTTTTTGCACCTGACGTACGGTGCTAGGCTCCTATTGCCATTTACTCTATTTTTTTATGTTGAGAGCTATTTATAACAATTTATTTTAATTTAAATTTTATTATATAGGATTTGTGCACACTGTATATTTTATTTCAAAAACTGTTGTATTTTTACAGCTCCGTTAAGTCGTGAATGGCCATTAATATCTTCACCATTTCCATTAATGATGATAATTTTTGGATATTTGTATTTTATTCTTTATATTGGACCCCACTACATGATAGGTCGATTGCCATATAAATTGAAAACCTTGATATTGCTTTATAACTTTATACAAATTTTAGCAAACTTATGGATGGTACAAGAACATATATCTTTTGGCTGGTTTTCAAAATATGGCGTATTGTGTTCAGAGCCATTTCCGCATTCTCCCAATACGCTTAAAGTATATTTTTATTATATGTAATATTATAATTAGTTATAGATTATATATTGTCTGTTTGAAAAATAAGTTGTAAATAATTTTTAAATATAAATAGACAATGTGAAAGCGAGTAGAGTAAATATGATAATATGAAATATCAGATTATGAGTGGCCTTATATTCTACTCAAGAAATTGTCAGCTGTTTAAAAAAGAAATTCTAAGATCAAACTTTTGGTTCATTAGAGCCTTCATATTATTTCTACTTACACATTAAATGTTTGCAAATTACAAATATATAAATTTTAAAAGTTGTAATAATTTCAGTTTCGAAGAGAGAAAATTAAGACAGCGTTAGAAAAGTATTATATTAATATAATTATATTATCGATAATTATTGAGCAGATCATTATTACACAAATTAGTACACAATTAAATAATTTTTTTATTTAATATTATACTAACTTAAAATTCTTTCATTTCCGTTTTTAATCAGATATTTTTGTGATAATTACTGTGAGATATTTCCTGTTGTTCGTTATTATTCACATTTTATATATATATTGTCTATGTATGTAACAAAATATTGTCTATGTATTATATATATATATATATATATATATATATATATATATAGACAATATTATTTTTTTTTTTTTAATAGCACTTGTGTGCTTGATTTTTATCAAAGTTTTTGTTTCAGATGTTCAATTCTTTATGGTGGCTATTATATTGAAAAATATTCGATCTGATAGAAACTTGTATATTTGTGTTGAGGAAGAAACAGAATCAAGTTTCCACTTTGCACGTCTATATCATGTCTCTAATATTTTTTTTGTTGGGTTTATTTAAAATACATTTGGACGAGAGAGCGTTATTAGTTTCTCTACTTAATTGTGGGATACATGTAATTATGTATGTATATTATTTGTTCTGCATTGGGCCCGAAATATCAACAAATGATATCTTTTCTCAAACCTGTTATAACTAAAATACAAATGGTAAGTTGCATTTATATTTTATTTATATAAAAAACTCGCATTTATACACACACGAGTGAGTATGCATTGTACAAAAATATATTAGGGGTATTCTACACAAAAGATTTTAGTCTTTCTACATATTGATACAATTTTTAAGATATTAATAAATTTTTACCCTTTTGTGTTTTTGAAATGTTAACAAACATTTTCAAAACGTTAAATATAATTAATATTAAACATCATTTTACAAAATAAGATGAGTGACCAAAAGTTTTATAATTGTTATGTACATTTGATATGAATTTCAATAAGGAAAGAACGTCGCTATAAGTATATGTACATCAATTAATTTATTCTGCTCTTTGTAAAGATGTTCTATCCATAATACTTGCAAATAATAATTTTTGATGTTAATTGTCAATCACATTAGAATGCCACAAAAACTAAAAACTAAATATTTGCAAGTGGTTATATATACAAGGTGTTCCAAAAATAACGGACCATCCTAATAATTCTTCAGTATTGAAGTTTCAAGAAAATGACCTCAATAAAAGTTGTGAGAATTTAAGTAAGCTACCTTATGATGACCTTGACTTTGACCTTGATCTTCATTTTCAAAATCATTTGAAGGTCAACTCATGTTTATTAAATAGAAACCCCTATTTTTGATCTCAAATTCTGAAAGAGCGGAAAATTTCACGTTAAAATATGTATCTATGAAATCGAAATAAACTGTAGCGGTTATTTGAAGATCAAATAATTATTTGAGAAGCACCGTTGTAGTAATGGAATACGTTCCCAATGTTCACTTGATTGAACAAAATATTAGGTAACCATTGCCTGCATAGCAAGCTGAATTTTCAGACCCCAAATCTAGAGCCACTGAAGGTAACATCGTAATGATCCAGCCATTGAAGGCAAGCTCTAAGTTATTCGGCCAATAAATGCAAGATGGAGGTCGCTTCTGGGATGGATTCTCACTTATGTGTGAATGGAAAACTAGTGGATTAAATAATATATAAAAATGAAAAATATCGACGGCAATCGGAGCCTGTGCGGATGTCATGCACAAAATTAATAATGAAATTGAGATCTCAAATAAAACTCATTTATTAAATTCTAAACGTTTTGACCCACTTCGGGTCTTCTTCAGTAGAATCCGCAAAACAAATTATGTGCGGATTCGATAAAGAAGCGAATACTAATGTAGTATATAAAATCAA